TTTTTTTTTTGGTTTTTCGAGACAGGGTTTCTCTGCGTAGCTTTGCGCCTTTCCTAGAGCTCACTTGGTAGCCCAGGCTGGCCTTGAACTCACAGAAATCCACGAAAAGTTTAGAATGTAATATTTAAAAAAAAAAACCCTCTATGACCCCATGCAAAGTTGTCCATATGGAACATGTTTTACTCACTTGACAATCACCCCAACCAGTGAGGCTGAAATTCTTCAAGACTTTCATGAGCTTTTCCTCTGTCACTCTTCATATTCTTTCTCACAAACACATGTGTGTGTACTTGGAAAGCAGAAAAAAAGGGTTCTAGATGATTCCACCTCAGGGCTAGGCTTAGCTTATCAGCACCAGTTCCTGGGGGCATTTCTGCTTCTATATTCCTGAGGATTATTGTTTCTAGAATAAAGTGGTGGGTAAATTATTATTGGTGAAATTATTAAGGCCACTCCACATAGTTAAAAGGAAGATTTATTTAGTGGATAACTTACAAATGAGGAGATAGGTAGGTTGCGGGTTCTGGGGAAGGTGTATCACAGTCCAGTGGTGTTCTCTGGAGCTCTGCTCAGTCAAGCTCCACCTTGTAGGGTTCAGGAACAGAGAGAGCCTTGGCCCATCCAGATCTCAGGTCTCTTGGCAACTCCCTTGGCCCCGCCTTGTAGGCATGACAGTTGCCAAAGCCTCAATGGGGGTTGGAACTTCCAGATCAAAGCTGGAATAGCTACCCACTATAACAAATGTACTGTGATCAGTCTCTGCTGTAACCTAGTTTGTCTTTAGCATTATTTCCTCATCCAATGCTTCAGCTGTTATGCAACGGGTCCAGCTATTCGCATATATCAGAGTCAACACAGTGACTAAAATAATATTTTGAATAAAGCAAATGGTAGCTCTATTTTACCCTGACACAGTCAGAACACATTTATAAAGGCTTCATGATTTAAAATGTTTTGTGTGACAGAAGAATAAAAAAAACAAACCAAAAAAATGACAACAAAAAGATGTAGTTTTTTATTAGAAGCAACTCCTGAAGACTGAGGGTATTAAACTGGAGAAGCTGAACATGAGACCAAGAGCCATGAGATACCAAAATTCATCTGAAGGAATAGCCTGAAAAAGTATTAATGTTGTGTACATTGCAGCTTTGTGTTAGTTAGATCTAGGAGAAAGGCAGCACTGTCCAAAGATGGGGTGAGCACCTTTAGCAAGTAATTGTGCCCTCATCTGAGGAACTGTGCAAGCAAATGTGGGTGAGTTGTTCTGTGGATGTGCTGTAGATATAAAAGCTTTCTTATAATTTTGATATCAGCCACATCTGTTGTTCTTTTCACTTCTATTTTAACATATTTAATGCAATTTTCTTAATAAAAGGTACTTAGCCTGGCAAGAACTCATATTTCCTGAATCCCCTCCTTTCCCTTTGTGCAATTAGTGAGCTGCCTTAGATTAAGCTGAGTTCCCACCAATGGGATGAGATGCAGTCACCACCTACTTCAAAGCTGAAAGACATGATCCACATTCACCTCTGTGTGATGCAGCCCAGTTTGGGATGTGATGCATGACTCCCCCTCCTTTTTTTTCTTTTTGCAAAAGGAATTACCTTGTTTGTGTATGCCCCATTTGGAAATCATTTTTTTCCCTCTAACATTTGTACAGAAGAAAGGTGAGATGTCTTTCAATAAAATGACTCACAAGATTTTGGTGGCTGGTAAATCCAGCTAGTTTGGGCTGGATGAAGATGCAGTCCAATTTAAGCAATCACACATTCAGGTGTGCATGTGTGCTCACATGTCACACACACACACACACACACACACACACACACACACACACACACATCATATCATACACCAAAGCAAATAAGAAAACTGATCTTTGTAAAAATATCCAGAATAATGGTTTCCAAAATATCTGCTGTGACCTATGCAAATGGACTGACAAAATTAACTACCAGAAAGCAGGGATGGTAACCGTAGTCCCAGCTCTTTGGAATCAATATCCAAGTGACTAGCTAAGCAGGTTCTTGAGGAACAACATGAACTCTTCCCTCTTTTGAAGTCTCTCCACCACCCTCAGCATCTTCCCCATTTCTATACCTCAGGTCCCAACATCAAGAAACACATTTCACTTTGAACCCCCAGTGCCTACACCTATAATATCCTAGAAGATTTTTCTATAGTCAACACATAGCCAACATATTCTCCTAGGAACCACAGAGCAAACAAAACCAATCCAAATAACAAAAGTCCCACCCCCAAAATAGGACATGATATCAACACCTAGAATTATAATCTTCCCAATCTCAGATGCCTAGATGCC